CCCCCCCGCCCCCGCTGCCGCCCCCCAGGCCTCCGCCCCTCCCGTCGGCCTGCCTTTGCCGAGCGTCTTTCCGAATGGCGGTCCACCGGCCTCCGCCTTTCCGGCCTCCACCCTCCACGCCTCCACCCTCCATGCCTCGACCCTCCACGCCTCTGGGCACTACGGCGCGCACAGCCTCCGCGGCGCTGGCCCGCCCGCAAGCCGCTCCTCCGCCGACCGAGGCTGGACGCCGCTCGCGAACGTTGAGACCCTCGGCGGCGTCGGCGACGGCGGCGTTGGCGACACGGCTAACGCTGCTCTCGCCGACCACCTCGGCTTGAGCCTGTTTGGCGTGCTCGGCGGAGGCAAGGTGGGACAGGGCGTGCTGCAGGGCGAGTTCGCATCGGCGGCCGACAACGAGGTCGAGCGGATCCTCGACGGGCTCAAGGCGGACCAAGCGGACCTCGGCGCCCTCGGCGACCTCGGCGATCCGGCAACCTCCGCAGCGCCCTTCCTGTTTGCAAGCAGCGGCGGCGCCGGCGCAAGCAACGGCCACGCCGGCACCGGCTACGCCGGCTACGCCGGCACGGGCGGAGCCGGCACGGTCGGCGCCAAGACCCAGCGGTACGCCGCCAGTTTCGCTCACTGGCCAGCCGTCGCTGTCGGCTTTTGAGTCTGCGCCCTGCCGGCGCCATCCCTAGGGGCGCCGGCGAGCGCTGAAGCGGGAGCCGCCGCCCCGGCCGTGCCGCTTCTCGCCACTAGCCCCGCGCGCCGCATGGCGGGGCCGGGCGCGCCGAGCTCCGTGAGACAGTAGCTCCCCCGGTCTTCTTCCTCCTCGTCCTCTTCTTCTTCCTCGTCTTGTTCCTGTGCCTGATCCTCCAAGTGCCCCCGAAGCAAGCCCCGGGGCGCACGCCTCTCTCTATGATGCCTTTGATCCGAGTGCAACACGCCGTCGCACCGCTCCAGCACGGAGAACGAGTGCACGGCGCGCACCGACGTGGTTTTTGCGAGTTAGGAAAAGTCAGATCGCTCTCACCTATTCGCTATTGCGTTGGCACGCGCTCGCAAGTCGTATATATCTACGTAGCGAGTGTAGCGTGTTTTTCGATGTGATTCGAATTGTAGTCCGTGGCGGCGTTTTGGTGGAAGGAAAGATCTCTAGCGCGCGCGCCTGCCGCGCCTCTCAGCTCACAGGACTCAGCGACAGCGGTCGCGCGACACGCGACACGCCGTCACCCAGCCGACAGGCCGTGTCGCGCGCACGCACGCGACAGTGCACGCGACCGACGGTCTTTCTCTCGACACTCGAGCGGGGCTGTGGCGCGCTCATGACCCCACACAACTCTCGGCGCGGTCGCCGTCAGTGCGGCCTCTCCCCCATCGCCTTGGCGTCCTTCTTAGCCTTCTTCGACGCCTTGCCTCCTTTGGAGATCCCCTTGGGCTTTCCAGCCGCGGAAGCGAGGGAGTCGGCTCGCCGCTTGGAGCCCTTGCCCTCCCTCGGTGCGGCGGCGGCGGCGGCGGCCCCGCTCGCCCCCCCCTCCGGCGGCGGCGCCCCCTCCCGCGCCGCCAGCTTGGCAGCGCCAGCCACACTCAGCACCTCTGCCCGCAGCTCCCGCGCGAGTGCATCGTCCTCCCCCTCGGCCGCGGTGCCGACCGCGCCGCCGGTGGCGGAGGAGCGGAGCGCCGCCAGCCGCGCGTCCAGCTCGGCCGCGCCCGCCCCCGCCCGCTCGCGGTCAAGCCGCTCCACGACGCTTCGGCTATACTCGCCGTCGGACCCGCCGCCGCCGCTCTCGCCGCCCGGTGCCGCCGCGCCGCCACCACCCTCGCCGCCGCCGGGAGCGCCTCCGCCCGCACCGGCCGAGGCGTCGGGTCCGGACGGTCCGCCGAGCGCGTGCACGATGAAGCGCTTCGCGGCGGACGCGTTGAGGCTCGCCTGCCGCTGACTCGCCTCCGCCTCCTGACTCGCGGCACGCACTTTGCGGATGTAGCCCTTGATGCGCTCGAGCTCGGCGAGGACGGGGTGGTTGGCGGAGGGAATGCCCTGCGTCTTGAGGTACATGTAAAAGAGGGTATTGATCGTGTAGGCCACCATCAGGTGCAGCCGCGCCGACTCGAGCGGCGGGAGGCCGCCGCAGAGCTCCGCCCACGGCGCACGCTGCAGGCGGCGCACGCGCTCCTCGATGTCGCCCAGCCCCCGCTCGAAATTTGCCACCGCAGACGCAACTTCTGCTGGGAGGAGGCTGGAGGGCGCAGTGGCCGGCGGCGCAGTGGCCGGCATCGTGCAGGGCCGCGTTTTTCTCTTTTACGAGGTCCTGTTCTCCTCAGGAGCCTTCGCCAACTAAAAAACACAGCACCGATGCCGACTTAGTGTGGGGAGGGTCGGCGAGCACTCACTCACTAGGCGGCGCCGCAGGGCCGGGGCACTGGCCACGGCCTCGCCGACCACTAGAAGGCGGCCCACCCACTACGCGCACTATCTTAGTGCGCGCGCAGCGCGGGGTGGCAGGAGGCACTCACCCACTAGCCCGCTCGCCGGCAGCCCACTCACTACGCGCACTATCTTAAGTGCGCGGGGTGGCAGGAGGCACTCACCCACTAGCCCGCTCGCCGGCAGCCCACTCACTACGCGCACTATCTTAAGTGCGCGGGGTGGCAGGAGGCACTCACCCACTAGCCCGCTCGCCGCTGGGTCGCGTCGCAGGCGACGAGGGTTCCTGCTCACGGGCGGGCGAGGTGAGAGGACGTGTCGACCGGGTCCGCACCCGCGGGCGGACGGAGCTCACCGGGGAACTCCTTGCTGCCCGTCTCGACGCCCTCCTCGCACACCACGCAGCGCGCCTTGCCGATGCTGCCGATCTGCCCGCTCGCGAAAGGGTTGCACCACATGGGCTTAAGCTCGCCGTTGACGCCGCAGCAGTCCCACACGTGGCAGGACGCGCCCTCCGCGCGGCAGAGCTTGGCCTTGTCCCCGACCTGCGCGTACGCCTCGCTGTCGAAGGAGGGGTTCGCGGCGCCGAGCCCCTCGAGCATCGGGAGCAGGTTGAAGGCCTGCTCCCAGCCGTCGGTGAACATGCAGCGCCGGTTCATGTCGTAGTCGACCGAGCCGCACGACTTCTTCGTGAACTCCTGCACCTTGCCGACGAGGCCGGCCGGCCGCTCCCCTGGCCCGACCCAGTGCCACCCGTCGGAGAACGGGTTGTGATTCACCGCCTCGAAGCCGTTGCACGCCATGCCGAGCAGGTCCGGCCGGGCGAACCCGTCCTTGTACTGGCTGCTGACGAAGCTGCATATGCCGCCCACCTGCAGCCAGCCCAGCAGAAGAGGGGGGGGGGGGGGGGGGGCGTTACGAGCTGCTTGCTGCAGGACGCGCGAGGGGCGGATGCGCGAGAGTCTGAGCTGAGGCTGCGACCGCGAGGGGCGTGTTGCGCCGCGCTTCCACAGTTCCACACACCTGGAGGTCGTCGAGTTTGATGTCTCCGCCGCACGAAAGGGGCCGCCTGTGGACATGTCGCGGGCATGTCGTGGACACGTGTCCTGGACGTGTCTCCGCCGCACGAGAGAGGGGCCGCCCGAGGCCGCCCACCAGCGCCTCGAGGTCCTTCTCCTTGAGAGAGAGGTCGTCGAACCAGAGCGAGCCGTGGCCGGTGACGGTGATCGGGCCGCTGCACAAGTGCACGCCGAGGGCGTTGTAGGTCGAGTACGCGTACTGAACTTCGAACTCGATGTCGCTCACCTGTGGGAGCACGATGCGGGCACCCTCTGTTGCTTGGCTAGGGCCAACTCACAGCGAAACCAAGACCCCGGCCCCTCTCTCACCTCGACGCGGATCGCATCCGGGAAGAAGCGCTCGCGCAGCGTCCCCTTGGCCTTGGCGGCGGCCTTGGCAGCGAGGCCGTCTTGCTTCCACCCCGCGTGCCACTCCTTGAAGTCCTGGTACGCGCCGTCGCTCGCGCCCACCGCCCCTCCGAGCGAGCCGAGCACGCTGTCGCCGAGCGCGTCCGCCTTGTTGCGGACGCTCTTCGCGAGCTTGTGGTAGGCGTCGAGCGAGTCGAGCCACAGCGCGCCAGCCTTGCGGCCCTCGTACAGACAGCCGACCAGCTTGACCGACCCCACCTGCGAGCGAGGCAGGGGGGCGGGGGCGGTCTCGCCGCTCTTCCAACGCCTCCCAATCCGCAATCGAGACGCGGCGCGGGGACGGCAGCGCGGGGCGCTCCAGGCGGCGCGGGGGGGAGATGCGCCTTTAGCTTCCTGTAGCTCATGTTGAAGCGGTAGGTGTCGGTCGGGATGAGTCCGAGCATGTGCTGCTTCTCGGCGCCGGGGTCGGGCGGCGTCGGCAGCTTGAGCTCGGTCGTGAGGTAGTCCTGCAGCTTTGCGGTGGCGACGCCCTCGTAAAACTTGGGCAGCCTCTTGCAGTTCACCTAGCAGTAGCAGCAAGCAACCTCAGTTCCAAAGAGCCACCCCCCCCGCGCGCTCCCTATCCACGCCCAAGCGACTTAGCACAGGTGGAGGCACAGGTAGGTGGAGGCGCGGCCTGATGCAATGACAACTCACCTTGCGGTCGTCGGAGGGCGCCGTCGGAGGAGGAGGAGGGGAAGGCGGAGGCGTGGGCGTCCTTGGGCAGCAGCGCCGGTGGCACCCCTCGACCGGCTCGCGGACGCCTCTCCCGCTGAGGGGCGCCATCTCGACGAACCCGGCCGCGCACCCCATGAACAAACAGCTCGTCTCATCGACGCACCCGCCGCCGGGCGGCTGGGGAGGCGGCGTCGGCGGGAGTGGCGGCGGCGGCGATGGAGGAGGGGGAGGCGGCGGCGGCGGCGGCGGCGGCGGCGGAGGTGGTGGCGGCGGCGGCGGCGGCGGCGGCGGCGGCGGCGGCGGCAGCGGAGGCGCGGGCGGAGGAGCGGGCGGCGGCGCCGGCTCAGATTGGCAGCACCGCTTGAAGCACAAGCTGCGCGCGGCCGCTCCGGACCATCGCTGCTCGTAGCCATCCTTACAGCCGTAGAAGCAATTCTCCTCGTCGTAGCAGCGTGGCGCCAAGGCGTCGTCGAAAAACCCACGGGCGAGGACCTCGTCATCAGAGGAGCTGCCCAGCCGCGAGCTCGATTGGTTGCGGTGGACGCAGAGCGCGAGCGCCGCGAGCGTCGCCGCCGCCAACGAGACGACGATCGCCCGCCCACGCGGGCGCACCGCCTCGGCCGGGGTCGGAAGACTCGTGATCATCGAGCAACGAGGGAACAGGGGGGGGCGCCGCCTTGTGACAAGGATTCTGTCCGTTGACTTGTTCACACCGGTATGCTTTGCTCCTTTTGGTGCTTTAAATACGTTCTGATTCTTGTGCTGATACTTGCGTCCGAGACTGCTTGTGTTAGGCCTGTGGGTTTTCTTTTGCCCTCGGTGTCCTGTCTCGGTGCCCTTTGTTGGACCTCTAGTTGTTCCCCTTACAGCAGTGGCGGTCCGCTCACTGCGGTTTCTCTTGCTGCCGGCTGTCCGTCGAGACAGATTCCCATCCCCAGGGCCTCCAGGGCTCGCACCTCAACCTCTCATAGACCCAGCGCGCTGCGCCTACCTTGGAGCACTTGGAGTGCAGTCATCAACCGCACACTCTCACATCCAGGGCCGGGGAGCTCAGAAGCGCACCCAGCGGGCCGGATGATTGGCATCGGGTTGCGGGCAAGAGAGCCCTAGCCCCGGGGGTGCGCGTTCGCAGGGCAAGGGCCTTAAAGTAAACACAGTTCTCCGAGGGTTAGTACCGCGCTCCAGGTTTCCCCTAGCAGCAGAACGCCCCCTCTACTCGGAGCTAGTTCCTAGTAGACACCAGACAAGAGGACACGCGACGACACACACTCCCCCTTGGCGACGGCGTCGCCAATCACAACCCCTCCGCTCGGTCTCCTTGCCCCGGCTCCGGTGGGGTTCCCCCCCCCCCCCGTTCGGTTCTACCGGGCATTAATTTTCTTCTCAACAACAAACAACACAACAAGGTCTGTGAACTCAACTTGTTGTTTCTTATAACCTTTCTGAGAGAGATTTTTATTTAGCAATACCACATTGTTTTTCTGTTTGCCTTTCTGAGTTTGTTTGTTCCTTTCTGTCATGGACTGGTCCTGTTCCAACATCCGATCTTTCCATTTCTTTCTTGTGAAAGGCTCGAGGAGAACTTGTTGTTTGGGAGAGAGAGAGTTGTTGTTTGTTTGGAGGGTTTGGAGTTCATGCAGGCGCATGCTCCATGCTAGCACCGTACGCATTAAAGGTGTTTTTTGTGTTTGAAGATTGAACGCGTCCCCTGGGGGTGTCCAGTCACTTGTCGGATTGTTCTTCATCATTCTGTCCTCGGTCCCCTCATCTCTTCGCGGGGGGCGGTGGGGGCGGTGGGCGTCCCCCCTCCCTCCCACCACCCCTGCCGGCCTCCTCCGTTCTCGCCCCACCTCCCACACACCACCACCGACCTCCCCGCTCTCGGCTCTCGCGGGGGAGAGTGCAATAACTTCTCCGCGAAGAGCGAAGTTCAACTTGTGGGTTTCACTGGGTCCTAGCGGGAGGCTATAAAATGAGGAAAGCAGAGTTTTCCCCTTCCCCGCCGCACCCCAACCACACGCGTGGGGTCCCGGTGGCGCGCCGTCTCCTCCCTCCTCTTCCCCAAGCCCCGGAAGCCCCAACAGTGCGCTCTCTGCGCGCGCAACTCGTGCTGCCACCTCACCGTGTGGGGTCCCGACCCGTCCCTGTCCACCGCCCCTGCAGCCGAGCGGCGAGCGGCAAGCCACTCTCTGGCGGGGTGGGGCAGGGTCGGGGGGCGGGGCAGGGTCGGGGGGGACATTTTACCGGGGGGGGGGGGTGGATGCACGCCGGCTAGTGCAGCCCAAAGGCGGCCGACATCACCTTGGTCAGCTGGCCGAGCTGCAGGGCGCCACCGCCCTCCTCGGCGGCCTTGCGCGGCTTGGCCTGGTTGTCGTCGTTGAGCGCGACCTGCACCAGCTCGCCCTCGACCCTCCAGCCCCGCGCCTCCACCAGCTTCGCCGCCGCCGCCGCGTCGAGCCCGAGCGACGCAGTCACGTGCGCGGCCGGGATGGCCTGGTAGGTCAGCCCGAGCGTGTGCACGACGAAGTCGCGGAGCGCGTCGGCCACGCCGGGGATGTGCTGCAGCAGCGGCTCCTGCAGCGGCTCCAGCGCCGCCCACACGCCGCGGAACTGGCACGTCTCGAGCAGCGCGGCGACGGCGGCGACCTGCGCGAGGAGCTCCTCCTCCTGCACCCGCTCCGGGATGAGGTACGTGCACATCAGGTAGTCCGACGCGGGCAGCCGCGTCAACGCCTTCACGAGCACGCGGCCGACCACCGCCGAGTCGCTCTTCTCCGGGTGGAACTGGTAGAGCTTGAGGAGGGCGAGGTTATTGTCGAGGTCATATGTGCCGTCGGCGCACTGCTGCCGCACGTTGGCCTCGAGGGCCGGCACGCGCGCGACGTCGTACGCGCTGGCGGCCATCGCTTCCTTCCTCCGCAACGACTGACTGAGTGCTGCGCGCGGTCTGCACGCGCGTGGACTCTAAATAAAAGGAAAAGAAGGATCGAGTCTCCGCACGACACCACTCCTTAAAATCCCTGTGTGGTGGCGGCGTGCCGTCCTCCCATCCCTCCCTTGGGTTGTCCGTTTTCGTTCTTTCTTTTTTCGCACGACACCACCCCTTGTTTGGTTTTTATTTGTTTTATTTATTCCGCACGACACTGTGTTAGAAGAAATCACACTGTGTTAGTGCCAGTGCGCGCCAGTCCCGTGCCTAGTGTCGTGCGAGAGGTAGGCGGTAAAACTCTGCTCGTTTCCAGGGAGCACACGTCCCCGTTCACACCTACACACACGACACGGGTAATCAACCCCGCTCCCCCATGAATATGAATCGCCGAACTTGAACGGCGGGCGCTTGACGAACCAGGGGGGAACGGGCGTGGCAACCACAACCACGTCGGGGGCGTGGTTGTGGCAACTCATGATCGAGAGAGAGAGAGAGAGAGAGAGAGAGAGAGAGAGAGAGAGAGAGAGAGAGAGAGAGAGAGATAATATTAACCTTGCGAACTCGTCCCCCCCGGCAGGGCTATGCAACTGTGACCAGTGTGTGCTGTCTACGCCTGAACCAGGTGTCAAATCTGCCGATGCGTGACCTGTGCGTGGGCTGCTCTGTGAGGGGTCCAGGCGTAGATGCCGTCTGGCAGCTGTCCATGGCCGAGTTTGCCTTGGAGACCATGGACGAGAACGCCGTCGCACTCAAGCCTCGCCGGCTAGGAATGTGCTTTCGCGCGCTTGCCGAGCAGGCGCGGCACCCCGGCGAGATCCCGCGCCTCCGCGGGCTGTACGAGCTGCACGCCCTCCACGCGGTGCTGCAGCGCAGCCCCAGCCTCCAGCGCGAGCTGCGGGTCCAGCTCGAGCGCTTTAAGCGACAATACTGCTCGTTGCTGCGCGGCGCCGGACGCTTTCGCACGCTCGAGGTCCTGCCCGGCGAGACGATCCTCGAGCTTATGCGGCGCACTCACGTGGCCATGCTCTCGTGGCGGCCTCCCGGCAGACCCGGCGCGGCGGCGTCGACCCTGGCGCTGCCCGCGAGCCGAGCGGGGGGGGTCTACCTCCCAGAATGGCGAGAGGAGACGAACGTGCTCTACCATTCGGCGGCGGGTAAGACCCTCTCGCTGCGTGGCGCGCAGGGCGTCGCCACGGCCTGCTCGAAGCGGTACCTGAAGTCGCTCCCGGAGGCGGAGCGGCCGCAGCACGAGAGCCACGAGACGGTCCGCTTGCACGACATGCAGTTCTGGTTCGTGCAGCGCCAGAGAGCTGTGGAGAACTCCTTCTCGAAGCGGCGAAACGTGCTGCAGTGGGACGAGGTGACGATCAACAAGGTGGCCTGGGTCGTCGTCACGCTGTCGTGCGAGAGGCTGCCGGCGCTGCGTGAGCGCGAGGTGATCGCCACCTTTAAGCTCCGGCCAGACGCCGATGGCCACAAGAAGACGGGCGTGAACGTCGGCGCGAGCAACGTGCGCGCGGTCAACGAGCTCGGCCTGCCGATCGATCGGATCGACTTCTGCGTCTCCGACGGCACCGCCTCCAATGCCAGCTTGACCATTGCGTCGGAGCGGCACAAGGGCGGCGCCTTTGCGCACATCTGGACCTCGATGCGTGCGGCAAAGCACGTGCTGTGCTTCTTTATCCTCTGCTTGTCCCACGTGATCAACAACGAGGTGAAGAATGTCTGCGAGGCGGCTGGTGCCTGCCGCCGCGAGCACCTGCTCGCGCACTCGGGCTCTGCACAGGTCGCCCTGGTCGCCGTCGCCGTCTCGCCGCCTCATCCGCCAACACGGCCGTCGCCGCCAGGGCCGCCACTGCCATCGCCATCGCCGTCGCTGCTTCGTTCACCACTACCAGGGCCGTTGCTCTACCGCTCCCCAAGCGTATTGCCGGTGCTGTCACGGGCTGCCACTCCTAGTACCTTGCTGCTCGGTCGCGTTCAGTCTAGGTCGACACGCTACCCTGCCGTTCGGGCGCCGCTCATCGCTTCGCAGCGAGCCCGGGCTCTGTAAACATCTCCGTCGCGAGCTGCGCACGCCCCGCGGGTCCGTGTGACTGTAGCTGTATCTCCCAAACATCTCCCGCAGCTCAAAGCGATCTCGGCCTAATCTCCATGGCTCGAGATTGCACGAGATAAAAACGGCGCTCTCGAGGTGGGGCGCCAAGATCTGGACAGCGGAGCGCGTAGAACGCGCGCTGCTGATGTGCACAGAGCCCGGGATGGCCAGCATCCGCCCTCGTGGTCGCGAACGGCACCGGTCGGCGCGTGCGGCTCTGGCAGCCGCCCGGCCGCGTCGGAGCTGCAGAGAGCGGCACGCGGCCCGGTGCCGTTCGGGCGCCGCTCATCGCTTCGCAGCGAGCCCGGGCTCTACAAACATCTCCGTCGCGAGCTGCGCACGCCCCGCGGGTCCGTGTGACTGTAGCTGTATCTCCCAAACATCTCCCGCAGCTCAAAGCGATCTCGGCCTAATCTCCATGGCTCGAGATTGCACGAGATAAAAACGGCGCTCTCGAGGTGGGGCGCCAAGATCTGGACAGCGGAGCGCGTAGAACGCGCGCTGCTGATGTGCACAGAGCCCGGGATGGCCAGCATCCGCCCTCGTGGTCGCGAACGGCACCGGTCGGCGCGTGCGGCTCTGGCAGCCGCCCGGCCGCGTCGGAGCTGCAGAGAGCGGCACGCGGCCCGGTGCCGTTCGGGCGCCGCTCATCGCTTCGCAGCGAGCCCGGGCTCTACAAACATCTCCGTCGCGAGCTGCGCACGCCCCGCGGGTCCGTGTGACTGTAGCTGTATCTCCCAAACATCTCCCGCAGCTCAAAGCGATCTCGGCCTAATCTCCATGGCTCGAGATTGCACGAGATAAAAACGGCGCTCTCGAGGTGGGGCGCCAAGATCTGGATAGGGGAGCGCGTAGAACGCGCGCTGTCGATGTGCACAGAGCCCGGGATGGCCAGCATCCGCCCTCGTGGTCGCGAACGGCACCGGTCGGCGCGTGCGGCTCTGCGTCAACCAGTACGGAGCCCGAAATGCGTCCAAAAGTAAAAAAATCAGCTTTCCGCGTCTCTTCACTGCTCGCCGCCGCGCAGGCGTGTTCCGGGGGCCCAGTGGAGCATTTCATCTAGTGGCGGCACCAGCTCTAGAGAAATTTATAATTTCTCAGTGGGGTTTTGACATAGTGCCTTGCGATCTTTTTTGTGCAGGGTTCTAGGTGATCTAGCCTTTGTGCATTTTCGTGTGGGTGTGGTCGTGGGAGGTGTGTGCGCTTATACGCCGCTTAGTTGTGTGGGGAAAGTGTTGTAGATAGGGCGCGCGCGGATGCGGCGAGGCGCCTGGAGCGCGAGCCATATCACCAGACACCACACACGCACGGCAGACCGGGACGCATGGCGGGGTCTTCCGATGCAAGAACCCCCTCACCTCAGCGGCAGCTCAGCGGCGTGGGCTGCGGCGGCCTCGCTCGCCGCTGCCGCCGCGCTCGCCGCTGCCGCTGCGGCGGCCGCTGCTGCTGTAGCTGTAGGAGTACGACGAAGCCGACGACGAGGGCGAGCGGCGGCCGCGGCTCCGCCCCCGCCGGCGCGGGGACGGGGAGCGCGAATACGACCTGCCCCCGCCCCTGCCGCCCCTGCCTCCTCGGTCGCCGCGGTCGGGGCTGCGGCCACGCCGCTCGCCGCGCCGCTCGCCGCGCCGCTCCGCCTCCCCTCGCCGCCCCTCCTCGCCATGCCTCTCCATCTCGCCGCGCCCGCGCGGCGGAGGCGGCGGCGGCGGCGGAGGCCGCCGGCTCGCCGCGGCCGCCTCTTTCTCCCTCGCTGCCGCCTCGGCCGCCGCTTTTTGCTCCTTGGCCGCCGCCTTTGCCGCCGCCTTTGCCTCCGCCTTCGCCGCCGCCTCGGCCGCCTCCTCCTCAGCAATCAGCTCGTTGAGGTCCTCCTCGAGAGCCGACCGGCGCGGGCCAGTGAGCAGGCCTGCAGCAGTCACTCGCAGCAGTCACAGCAGTGAGTCACAGCAGCGAGTCACCGACAGCAGCACTGACAGCAGCACTGACTGCAGCACTGACTGCAGCACTGACTGCAGCACTGACAGCAGCACTGACTGCAGCACTGACAGCAGCACTGACTGCAGCACTGACTGCAGCACTGACAGCAGCACTGACTGCAGCACTGACTGCAGCACTGACTGCAGCACTGACTCACCGCACTCACTCACCGCAGAGCCGAGATGTCTCCGAGAGATCTCCGAGAGATCTCCGACAGGTCTCCGACAGGTCCCCGAGATGCCTCCGAGATGCCTCCGAGATCTGGCCTGGGCCATCTACGGCGCGCGGGCCGGAGGCGACCAGCGTGTGCCGCTTCGGCAAGTGCGGCAGAGCGAGGTCGAAGACATACTCGTCGCGCAGCAGCTCGTCGACCTACGTGGAGATACGGGGAGATATGCTCGAGATATGGGCGAGATTGCATCTTACTCGTCGGCCGGGAATACGCCGACATCCGGCCGGGAGACGGTATCGTGCAGACCATTCAGAGCACCGCGTGAAGACGAGGGGTACGAAGACAGTGCAACACAGCGGAATACGGTCGAAGACAGCTGAGTCCGTGTCCCCTCGAGCGCGGGTTGAGATCCATGAATCCGTCTTCCGCCTCTAGACTCGTTTGCCAGCTCGTCGACGTGAACGAGGCAGTACTCGCCCGACGCGAGGCTGCGACGCCAAGGGGTCAGGGGTGTGAATGCACACGTGTGCCTACCCCCCCCCCCCCCTCTCCCTTCCCCTTCTCTCTCTCTCTGACTACGCCAACGTCGGGGGTGTGAAGACAACGGCCACGAAGACGACGAGAACCAGCGAAGCACTGCTGAGTGCACCGGACTACGCGTACCCTCTCGAGTGTCCGTCGGAACCATCTCTCCGCCCTCCGCTTCTAGGGAGGGCGCGCGCCGGCGGCGCAACTTGCGGTAGTCGTTGTAGAGCGGCTCGAGGTACTGAAACACCTCGGCAGGCCGGCCTATGCCGCACTCATTGCGAGTTGGGCGCCGGGGTTTGGTAGGTTGCCGGCGCACCTCGGCAGGGCGGCCGGTGAGGCGGAGGTAAAAGGCGCCGAGGGCGCGCACGTACCTGGCAGCAAGAAGGGGGGGGGGGGGACGGAGGAGGGGGGGTTGCCGGTGGGGCTGGGGCAGAAGCTGGGGCAGGAGGCGTGACGCTGTGGCCCGCGCACTTGTAGTCCTCATTCTTGATAAACTCGAGCACAATCTCCTTTTCGGGCTGGATCTGCAGCATCTTGAGAGTGAGCTGGATGAAGTGCGACGGCTCGCGGATCCCGCCGAAGGTCCCGCCTGGGCGAGTAGCGAGGGGGCGCGGCGTCGGAGGCGGGCGGGCGGCGGGCGGCGGCGGTGGGCGGCCGCGTGCTGTCACTGTGCGGCGGCGCGGCGGCCGTGGAAGCTGCGCGCGAGCGGATGGGCGCGCGCGAGGGGGGGGGGGGGCGTAGCGGAACGCGCCGACAGTGTCGAGCTCCATCGCCTTGTCGACGAGCGATTCGGCGGTGAGGCCGAAGCAGTGTTCCTTCCAGTACGCGTGGTTGTAAATCTTGGAGCGCAGGATCTTCTCGACCAGGTTCTGCGGGTTCGTGCCGTGCACCGATATGGCGGTCGTGTCCGTGACGTTGGCGCTATTCTTGCCCCACATAGCACACGCAAGCACTGCACTCGCTTGCGCGCTGCGCGGGTTGCCAGCGGCTCTCGTGGATTTATTTTCTTTTTTCTGCCTGTTGTGTGAATCGTGCGTGTGCGAGAGAGGTTTGTTGTAAAATTCTTTTGTCTGGGTTTTAGGTTTGTTGTTGGCAAGTCTTTTGTCTGGGGGGTTGCCAGTGCAAAGAAGAATTTTTAGACTCCAAGTGCTCCATCCAAGACACTAAACGGCCGCTGCGACGTCGTGCCTGAGGAGGAGGAGGCTGGCGAGGGCGACGAGCTGGACCTCCAGTCCTTCCTGGAGGGAGTTTCGGAAGACGAACCGGAACTCCTCCGCATCATGCCTGTCCTCCCCCATCCCTCGTCTGGGTTTGTCTGTTTTCTTTCTTTCTTTTCTTTTCAAGTGGACAAAAAGCGCAAGACATCCGAAAGCGCAAGACATCCTCACATCTCGAGCTCGATCCCTACCCGCCCGCTCACCGCATCCCGAATCACTCCCTTCCCCTCGTTGCCCAAGTTGTTGCCATCGAGCATGATTTTGGTCAGCACCCCGTTGCCGCGCAGCGCCTCGGCGATCGCGGCCGCGCCCTTGTCGCGGATGTTGTTGCGGCTGAGGCGCAGCTCAGTCAGAGCCTCGTTGACGCGCAGAGCGGAGGCCAGCGCCTTGGCGCCCTCGTCACCAATGTCGTTCTGATAGAGCGAGAGTTTGGTCAGCACCCCGTTGACCGCGAGCACCTCGCCGATCGCCTTGGCGCCCTCGTCGCCGATGCTGTTGCGGCCGAGGACGAGCGTTTTTAACACCCCGTTGCCGCACAGCGCCTCGGCGATCGCGGCGGCGCCGGTGGAGCCGATCTCGTTGTCGCGCACATCCAAGGAGGTCAGCACCCCGTTGACTGCGAGAGCGCCGCCGATCGCCTTCGCGCCCTCGTCGCCGATCTCGTTGTCGCCGAGGTCGAGATTTTTCAGCACCCCATTGACCGCGAGGGCGCCGCCAATCGCCTTGGCACCCTCGTCGCCGATGTTGTTGTTGCCGAGCTCGAGGGTGGTCAGCACCCCGTTGACGCGAAGAGCGGATGCTAGCGCCTTGGCACCCTCGTCGCCAATGCCGCCGACGCCAAATGGGCTGCCCGACAAGTCGAGCTCGGCCAGCACCCCGTTGAAGCGCAGAGCGGAAGCCAGCTCCTTGGCACCCTCGTCGCCGATCTCGTTGCAGTCGAGGTCGAGCTCTTTCAGCACCCCATTGCCGCGCAGCGCCTCGGCGATCGCAGTGGCGCCCTCGTCGCCAATCTCGTTCCCGTAGAGGTTCAAATTGGTCAGAACCCCATTGACCGCGAGCGCCTCGCCGATTGCCTTTGCGCCCTCTGCGCCGATGCTGTTACCATGGAGGTTCAAGTTGGTCAGCACCGTATTGCCCGCAATCAACGACGCGATCACGATGGCCGAGGCGGGTCCGAGGCCCCTGTGCGAGAGGTCGAGGGAGGTCACCGAATCGGTGCCGCGCAGCTTTGGCAGGTCGAGCTCGTGGCCGTCGAGATTCAGCTTGGTCAGCACCTCATTGCCCGCAACCAGCGACGCGATCACGATAGCCGAGGCGGGTCCGAGGCCCTTGCGCGAGAGGTCGAGGGAGGTCACCGAATCGGTGCCACGCAGCTTTGGCAGGTCGAGCTGGTGGCCGTCGAGGTTGAGTGTTTTCAGCACCCCGTTGACCGAGAGACCCGCCGCGACGACGGCAGCCGATCCAGGTCCGAGGCCCTTGTTTGACAAATCGAGCGACTTCACCGCCTCGCGCCCATTGAGCTGCAGCGGGTTGAGCGGCATCGCCCCCTCTTCGCCCACGCTCAGCACGATGAGCGTGCGCGTCGTCCGCACCACGCCGAGTAGCGCCTCCCGCACGCAGCCGCACGCCTTGCCCCAGTCAAGCGTCAGCGACGTCAGCGCCGAAGGCTCCGATTCCATCCACGCGACCACCGTTCTGACCATCACGCCATCGTCACCAAGGTCGAACCCCGTTAGATCGACGCCGCTGGCCTGCAGCGGCAATACCGCATCCATCGCCGCGGCAAGCCCGCCGCCACCGCCGTGCTGCATCGTCGCCGCGAGCACCACCAAGCGCTTCACCTCGAGCGCGTCGCCCACCGCCGCTTGGAAGCGCACGTCATCGTTGTACGCCTCAGCCTTGTCGCCGAGCGGCGCCTCGAGCCACTTGCCCTCCTCCGCGCCTTTGGCGTCCGCGCATCGCTCGAGGCCGAGCCGGACGCGCACAAGCTGCGACGCCTCCTCCGCTGCCTCCTCCGCCACCCCGCGGCGCACCTCGGCCGCCATCTGCGCGCCCATGTCGGTGAGCAGCTTCTTGCGCTTGCCCGCCACCTGCTCGAGCGTGAGCGAGGCCATGTTGATGGAGAAGCTGCTCTGGATGACGAGCGTGCCGCCCTCCACGCCCGTCGAACGCACCTGCATGTGTCGGGAAGGGGTGGGAGGCGATGAGGCTGAGAAGGGGGCAGGGAGGGAGGTGGGGCGAGGTTGGCGCACCTGCAGGCCCATGAGCGGCGGCAGCAGCGTCTCCTTCTCGTGCGGGTACTGCGAGAGCCACGAGACGTCGGCGCCGCGGTCGACCATGCCCATCCCGAGCTCGAGCACCGTCGACGCCTTGCCCTCCGCGTAGTGCACCGCCTGCGCGCGGTCGGTGGTGGTCGACGAGAAGCCGTACTCGACGCCGCCACGGAAGCCGAGCGCGTCCGGCTTGAAGAAGGCTTCCGGGAGCGTGGCGCCCGCCCAGCCGCGGTAGAGCGGCGTGATCCTGGTCAGCGGCGACAGCTTGACGATGATCGAGTTGATCGCGTGGATGGTGGTCGAGTACTGGTTGTTCCACGTCCAGCGCACCGCGCCCGAGCGCTCGCCTGCCGCCGTCGCAGCCCACTCGCCGAGGTGAAGCCAGCCGCACTTCTTCTGCAGAAAGGGCACCTGCTCCATCGAGGCGTACTCCAGCCGCACCGCGCCGTCGGCACCGCGCGCTGAGGAGAAGCGGAGGACGCCGTTGTACTTCTCGTACATCGGCCCCGTGTACATCCGGCCGGCGACGAGCTCCTCCTTGGTGAGCGGCGCCTGCCCCGCCTCAACGAGCTTCGGGTTCATCTCGTCCGCCATCTTCTTCTCGTAGACAGAGAGCGGCTCCGGCTTGCGGCACCACTCGCGGTGAGCCGTGCGGAAGTCGCCGCCGCGCTCCGCGTAGCGGTCGTCCTGGTCCTCGACCGGCGCGACGACAAACTCCCACTCGAGCTTGGACGTTGCGCCCTCGATGCCGTTGGAGGTGTCGAACGGCACTTCCGCATCCTTCTCTTTGCAGTGCTCCGTCTCCATGGCCTTGAGGAGCGAGCCCTCCACCATAAGCGGCGGCCCGATGATCTTCTCGAGGCCTCACCGGTCAGGGGAGGGGGGGCGGCCGGTGAGAGAGGGCGGGCAGGGTAGGCCAGCTGCTGGCGTGCAGCACGCCTCCGTAGAACTGCTCGACGCCGCCGAAGCCCATCTCGCCCTTGAACGCGTCGCCCTCCGCGGCGAACTTGGCGTTCAGCGCCGCCCCGGTCGCGGCGCTCTGGCCGCGCAGCTTCTCAATGGCGGACCAGAGGCGCGCAGCGAGTCCACTTAGCTTCACCGCCTCGAGCTTCTCCTTGAGGTCGGCGAGCGTGAGGCTGAGCACGTACATGAACGGGTCGGTGGTGCCGGCTGGCTCCTTCAGCGCCTCGGCCACCACCTCGGTGAGAGCGAGGGAGTTCACCCAGCCAGCGATGCCCCACTCTGCAGCGGGCTCTGCGTCGACCTGGGAGGAGGGGAGAGAGGGAGGGGGTAAGGCGGCTGGGAGGGTGGCGCGGCGGCGGGAAAAGAGGGAGGCGGACGCGGCGGCAGAGGGGAGGGAGGCGGCAGCGGATGCGGCGGTGGTGTGTTGGCGGTGGCGGTGGCGGTGGCGAAGGCGGCGGTGCGGGGAATGCGTCGGCCTTGCCGTCGCGCGAAGGGGCGGTGGCGCTCGGCGTGCCGACGTTGTGAAGCTGGTCCTTGAGCAACTGGATCTCGTCCTTGAGCGACTGGTTCTCGTCCTTGAGTGACTGGATCTCGCCCTGCTTGAGCGACTGCTTCTTGAGCGACTGGTCCTTGAGTGACTGGATCTCGTCCTTGAGCGTCTGGGTCTCGTCCCTGAGCTCGCGCAGCTCCGTCTCGCTGCTCTTGGAGGCGGCGCAGCCCACTTGAGCATCTCCTGCACCGGGGGAGAGCGCGACCGTGAGTAGGCATTTGACGGTGCCGGGGCGCGCGAGAGAGAGCGCTGCCAACAGCAGCGGCAGGGGCGGCAACGCGGAGCGCGTGGAACGGGGCGGTGGTAGAGGCGGTGCTGGCGGGTGGCGGGTGGCGAAGGCAGCTGGACGACCTGCTGTGTCGTCCTGGGGACCATCCTCTTGCTCTGCGGCCGCGGCGGAGAGATCAGCCGCTCTCGCTCCCCGGGGCTTGCCCCATGCAAGAGCTCGAGCGCGAATGGAGGCTGCGGTAGCGCCGCTCTTCGGCATCACGTACTACTCCTTGGGCGTCGGCTCTCCACAGAGGTGGCGGCAGCAATGTGCTCAACAGCGGCTCTGCTCAACAGCGGCTCTGCTCAACAGCGGCTCTGCTCCCTCACACGCCGGCGATTAGGCTGTCACGCTCGAGAAGAAAATGAAAAAATATGTCTGCGGCGTCTGCATTCGCGCTGCCGCTGCGCCTGCGCCGCCTTCGCGGCCTGCTCCTGCAGTTGCCTGTGTGCGCGCGGAGGGGCTCTTTCTCTCTCTTCTTCTTGCCGTCAGCGTGCGCCGCTCAATTCGACGGGATGATTGATGGACGCGGTTGCCGTCGCGGGCGCGCTGCCTGATGCTGTCTGCCCGAGCGTGAATCGCAACTCCACGATTTGCGGTCCACCGACAAATTTGGCTGCCCCCATCAAAGTTGACTTCTCTCCTTAGATACATACACATGTTTAATCGCTCGTCTGACGCCTCGGCGCCTAAGGGCTAGTTCCATTTCACTCTGACACGCTAATCTTGAAAACGTCCAACGGAGCTCCGTGTTGCTCCCAGCGCCCTCCCCCGCGCTTCCTGCGACCCTAGCCGATGGTACTAGCATGGGAGGTCATCTGGCTACCGCGAGAGCGACCCAACTCGTCGACATCGTCCGATGATGGTGCCGCAAAGTCAGCCTTCGGAGGCTATCGTGGGGTCGAGCCGTCAGTAGCCGTGACATGTGGTTCCACCACCCCTCGTAGGCTTTGCCTCTGACCATCACCGTTCCCAGGCTGCCTAATGGGATGGAAAGGAAGGCTGGGCGAGCGTATAGAAGCGTGCTCGACCTCGTCGTGGCAACCTGTACGGCAGCGCTGGCAGGCGCGATGAGCGTCGTGCCACCTGACCCGAGACGGGTCGCAGGCGTCGTACCGAGCGCGTCGAGACCGTGTCCTGATGTGATCTGTACGGGCGAGTCACGTCGGCGTCAAAGGAGCGACGTGTGACCTGTCAGAGCTTGATCTCCGATCTCAGCGGCGTCGAGTCGTCTCCGGTGCGCAACAAATGTACCTCCCCAGGACGCGCAAAGGAGCAGCTGCAGATCGGAGATCAAGCTCTGACAGGTCACACGTCGCTCCTTTGACGCCGACGTGACTCGCCCGTACAGATCACATCAGGACACGGTCTCGACGCGCTCGGTACGACGCCTGCGACCCGTCTCGGGTCAGGTGGCACGACGCTCATC